CTATATAGCCTCTTACTTGGAATGTTGTATGTTTAATTGGTGACAAGCTTTTTAATGCTCAGCTCTAGTTATGATATTATTTTATTACAACAGTGAAAAATTCTAATTAAGATGATCAGTTTGCCAGGAAAAAGTTTAGTATATCAATTCATCTATTTTATCAGGGGAAGTAGTCCCTTCCCCAGCCCATATCTCCTGATCGGAGCCTGAGATACAAGAAAAACATCACAGATGCATGCTGCATTGGACAAAGAAGGCATGCATGCATTTAAATCATGTATATCTTACTTTTTACTGATGTAATTGTGAAATATGTTCTTTTTGCATTCATAATTAGGGGTGAAACAGATGGTGAAGGCTTAGTTTAAAATAATCTATCATTAAAATAACCTAGCCTACTGGTAATTCTTCACTCTAACTGGAGTTTAGGTCAGGGTAACAGGGTTTTTTGTGATGCTGGAATACACTAGAAGGAATTAAGGACTGCATGGATAGTACGCAATAAGAGGATATTCTCCAGAAGGACACTATATTAACATCCCAGTCAATTAAATTTGTCTGTAGTGGGTATATGCAAAAATATCTGGGACAAAATTCCTCTGACAAATATAAATCCATTTTGTGCAATGCATTATACATTAGCACATATTCGGTCAAAGTGGTACAGTAGGTTTCATATCTTGAAAGGAAATAACCTCAGTATTCAACAAACACTGTACAAACCACTTAGTATTTTGGGTTAAAATCCCATGCTTTACATTTTCGTATTATTTTGATGTCAAAGGACGTAAATTATAATTATTGGCATTATTATTCAAAGGTGCTGTAGCTAGTGACTTTTACATCTGAGTCTCACTTCCCTCATGTCTACCACATTGACTTGCTGATATGTGACAAAGGAAATCTTCTATCAGTCCTGTCTCTCTGGCTTAGGACAGTTTTCAGGAATAAGAGAACTAGCTCAATAAATCAGATACTTCCATGTCTTTAAAGCATTTATTTTAGTGCTTCCTCTAAGATTTCATTCTCTAACAGCTTTGAAAAAAGCATATAGATTTCAGCATGGTATTATGATAAATCTTCTCAAGGAGGGGCAAGCATTAACATTTGTGTCAGTTCTTTTTCATCTTAATCCAACCTTGGTTAATAATCAGAAAATGCTACATAGCGGGTAAGAAGATGTAATTAACCCTTTGACCCTGGAATCTTAATTGGCGCCTGTTGAAAACAGTGGGGCAGTATTAAAAAAAAAAAATTAAAAAGTAGCCTGTGGTGATTGAAACAGCATAATACATAATAGTTTTCTGAAATAAAAGTACTGGGGAAATTCAGCTTTAATCACATTTTGCATATGAGCAGTAAGTGTAGGTTTAAACAAGAAGTTGCTGGTCTTTTTAAAATGTGATTGTGCTTAAAATTGGAATAGATGTTTACCCTGACCATTTTTAAGGCACTGCAGTAAATGAGATAACACAAAGTTTATGGAAGTCAATTTCACTTTTAAAAATAAAAACAAAATGAACTCAAGAAGGTATTGATATTTTCCTTCAACAAAAACAGGACATTTTGCAAAATACTCGTTGCCTTTGCACGTGCTATTTGTACGTCATAGTTGATAACCTTGGAACTGTGGAATTTCCAAAACACAAATACTATCTGCCTTTGACCTACAGTGAAATTCCCGCTGGAAATGACAATGTGCAGCTCAGTTTAAAAGAGAGACTTGAAAGCTGAGTAAATCCAGTACCCTTCTCATATTTATTGGCTTCTTGGCTACACAAATGTAATACAAATAATACTTCCAAAAATTACTCATTAATACAAAATTGTTTGTAGATACAATGACACCATATACTCTTCTTCAGTATATAATATAACCCCTGCTACGTTATCTGCCAGCTTTCTCTGAAGTCTATTGCTCTCTTGGCATGCACAAAGGACATCGCTTTATGAAAAATTGAAAATTTTCAACACGCATTACTTAAATAATAAATATTCATAAATAATACCTATGAATAACGAATGAGGTAGTCCTTCAGAACTACTGTTTGACCTGTATAAGGAACAACAACGCTGTCACAAAAGGGGTCCATCTCAGTTCTTTTGTGTGGGTGGGAGGAACTGCCTTGCACTGGAAGGTGACCATTTCTTCTACTGTTTTTATGATCATTTTTCTCTGATATGAGGATTTGAGCTTATTACTTCTAATGTATTTGCACTTTGAGTTAGCTGCTCTATTAGCAATTAATCAGTGGCTCTTCCAAAATATGATTAAGTAATCTTTTGAATTTTGCTCAATTTAAAATGTGGTGAATTATGTCAGTATTTTTATTCAAACATAACTTCAGGAAGCAGGGAAAGGAAGCAGAGAAAAAATACATGACCACCACATAGTTGTCTCAGTTGTCTTACTTATGGCATGGAAATGACTAGATATGCAAGAAGCCTAAAAGAGTTGTAGGTATGCTACACTGGCCCTGCCATTCCATCAGTGGTGCCATAGTAACCTCCCTTGTAAAACTAGGAGGTAAAAAGTAAGGAATATTTTCCCAAAGGAAAGCAAAAGAACAGGATCAAGCATTAAAACTGTTTAACTGAAAGACAAGGGTGAAATGGAGAAGTAATGTGAAAAAGCTTAAGATGCTTTAAGATGTTAAATTTTCGCATTTAACACTCTTCCCAGTTGCTGGTTACTTTAAAAACTTCAGCCATAAATGTTGTAATTTCTTTTTACTCTCATGCCTACCTGAGATTTTATTTATTTCTGTATTTCCAGCAAAGCTATTTTTAGCCAATTCCAAGTCAACATTGAGCAGAATATTTCTACTTTGTGATGAAAGCTTTCTATAATTTTTTCTTTCATTAAAAGGCCTGAGTTCCTAAATAAGATCATGCTTATTTAGAAGAGAAGCAAGAAAGCCATTACTCAGAATTACATTTTGTTATCCTCCCAAAACACTATCCAGATATGCCAGATAATTACACAGTAATCTAGCAAACTAAATAGAACAGATTATAAATGTGCTGAGTGCATGGAGCCTTTTTCTAGTAAAAGAGGAGGGGAATCACACATATTGGATATGTTAAAAATGGGTTATGTTAAAAACTATGAAATTTCCTTGAATGGGATATTATTCAACCAACAAAATATTTTGATTCAAAAAGAATCTTGAGTGCAATAGTTGTAGGAGTAATTACATAGAATATCACCTGTCATGACCATGGAAACTAGTAACAACCTGACGCTAGAAAGAAGCTTCTAGTAGTCTGGTCATTACCTACCTAACTGGCACTGATATTTCAAATGCTGTTCTGAAGTAGGGTGCAGACTGTTGGATCCAGGGAAATCAACCACTGCTGGTAGACATTAGTCTGATTCAGTACTGCAAGTTGTTGTTGGAGAAAGTCTTTTTAGCAAAGACATACATGAGTGGCCAGGGAATCAGGTTGATAGTTTTCTCTTTTATTTCTAGCAGGGGATTAAAACATTTTCCTCAAAGAGGGGAATCTGAGACAGAAAATCAGGACAACTTATACTGAGACCCTTGAAGATCCATTCTTCTGATCTTTCTGTGCCAGGGCAAGTGGGAAGTAACAGAAGAAATATGTACTTGGGGAGATCAAATGTGTAAAGGTTTTAATTGTCCTTGTATAGATTCAAGTTTGAACTTCACTGCTCCAAATTTTCCACCTGTTGTTGACATCAAAATTCAAGGCATTGACGTTAATCATTTAAAAAAAAATTATGATGATTTATAAGAGGCCATAAATGGTTTGCAGAATGTAAATGTTTTTACATGAAGGAAATCTATGCAGATTTACATTTTTATTAATTCATAAATATAAATTGGAGTATCTTTTTTAATGCAGTAAGGGTTTGTTTTCCAATATGGGGTGTATTTTTTTTTAGAAAACACTGATTTTTGAACCACCTACTACATCAGAGTGGAGTGAGTGCTTCCTAAGGACAATTTCTGACTAGCAGTGTATTGGAAATTAATCAAGGAGAAGAATCAAAGAAATTAAAAACTAGAAATTACTGTTCTATATTTAAAATGATAAAAACAATAACTGTGATTTTAGACTTGCAGTATTATTATTTTTTTTTTTTGCCAGCAGTCAGCCTTCTAAAAAGCATAAAACTAAAGGCACATGTAGTATTTGAAAGGCAATTTATTCCTAGAAAAAATTTGCTCGTGTACCTAGATGTATATTTCCATCTTGATGCAGAGTGATTTACTCTACATGTCAGTTTAGAATATAGTCCTTTGTTTATTAACTGCAGTCATGTTTCAAAAGATATGCATTAATCTGTGCATTTTTGCAGTTGCAATGGAAACTGCATCCAAAGACAACCTGACAAACTAAAGTTTGGTCTAGAGTTTTGTACCAAAGGGATGAAATTCATAACATTTCTATAGGCCTAAGCTGTAAGCATATTGGAGGGTAATCTGCTGATTGGCTTTGTTTGTTGTCTCACAAAAGGAAAATGGTGTGTGTGTAATCCTCAATTAATTAACAAATTATTTAGGTCCATAGTGGTTTGAGTGGTGGCAGGATTTTATTTTCTTTTTCTCGTTTGTTTGTTTGTTTTCAGATTTTGTTTTTCAGTTTTCTCTCCTTTTATTCTGGGGAATAATTCGGGGATCTCCTTACATATCATTTGATTGGAAGGCTATTTGTTCTTCTTATGTATTTCTTCCTGTAAAAAAAATTGAAGAACATTTCATTTTTCTGTATTTTTCCTGTATTCAAATGAGATAACTTTATATAGTATATGGCAGATATAAGCAGAACAGTAAGTCCTTCAACTTTGAAATATACTAGTGTTGATTTTTAATATATAAATTTTATAACAGAATGGTCTTAAGGATTCAAATTAAAAACACACATCTGAATGTTTTCCTCAATTTGTTCTGTGATACCTTGTTTGAATCTATTTCTATCTAGGATTTAACATTTTTAGTTAATATATTCACTAGACTTTTCTTTCTCCGCAGTCCCTGGATGGATTTGTATTTGCACTAAATCAAGAAGGAAAATTTTTGTACATTTCTGAAACTGTCTCCATCTACTTAGGCCTGTCCCAAGTAAGTACATGCTTTCAGTTCTATAGCATAATTGTGTGTGATGTGTTCTTCTGTTTCTCATTTTAAAAGAAATTTTAATAATCTAGTTTCTGTATTTTGCATGGATTATTTAATTAGTTATTTAAAGTTGCATCTGGTTCATCCTGAGAAGTAATTGAAAAACATGTCTATCAGTATTGGATGTTCAAATAAGATACACTTGTGCCTGAAAACTTTTTGCCATGACGGATCATTATTAATTTATTGAGAACAAATCAAGTTTCTTTTCTTGGTTGTTTTGAACTTTAAACCTCTATACCTGATAGGAAAGGGATACGTTAATAGTACTTCCCTTGTGTCCTATTACTGGATGTTTATGGAGTACCCTGCATTATCTAGGGAGCTGACACAATGACAGGGAGTCATTTGGAGTCAAGAAATGCTGAAAGAGACCATTAAAATGTCTGGCAGGGAGGGTTCCAACAAGGACACGTTTTGCTGCTTCCACAAATGTTCACTAATATGAAGAAAATATATTAAATACAGTATTTTTAAAATGTAATTGCTAACAACTGTTTTTCAAAGATTAAAAGGGTGAATGGAAGAGAAGGGAAAGTTGTTTGCTGGTACTTAGCCCTAATCCTGCTGCATTCAGAAATCTTTTGTTAGAATAGCTTCTTTTTACTTGCATTTAGAAATGCAGAAGAAAGATTTTACATGATGATTTGCAGGGTAAGATATCTGTTTCTATTGCATTCACTCAGAGGAGAAAAAGAAAATCTAATATAAATATTTATTTCCTTTAAATTGGTATCGATACTGCTGTGAGGAGGCAAGTATTATTACTGACAACTGTTAGTTTTGGTGTACCCCAACGGTAATGAAATGGGAAATTTTAACTCTTGGTGCAGAAAATTACTAATTTTGAATATTATGTCATGAGAGTTAGGATAGATGTTCATTAAGTCATCAAAGAAATTGCAAGAAATTTGTTTTAGTAAGTTCAGTAATTGTTATTTTGGGTTGGCTTTATCAAAGCAAATGCTAAAGGTGTTTCTTACTCATATATGTATTTTTTTCTGCCATTAAAGTCCCTTGTTTTGTAATAGACTTTAATACCTGGCTTAATCTGTTTGGGAATTGGTATCGAGAATCTCAGATTTTGAAATTGGTGCGCCACCATGTTGCTAATACAGTAAAGAATCAGAACTTTAATGTTTATTATTGTCTTATGCTCATATTAATCTGTTTTATGCATAGTATCCAACAAAGTTTAACAAGCCAGTAAAGAAGAAGGATGGATAATTAGTTTAAGCAGGTAAATGCTAATTAGGAAACTCCTGAAAGGCATCCATTATACGGTAGCTTAAAACAAATTTTACAGCCCTGGTTAGTGGTGTAATCCAAATTCTGTCAAGGCAACTGCATTTTCTGTAATTGAGATGTGTATGTTTGCTTTGCATAACAGATGGCTCTGTATGCTTAGACTGATAGCTAGGAAAATAATAATTGCATTATTCTGGCCAAAAGAATATTAGCTCTTGGGTTTTGGCCATTTCAGTCAGTCCTCCTGCCAGCACAGCATATGCACATATATGGATTGGATTTTCAAGGAAATTGATGCATCTGGAATAGTGTGGCCATCTGAAATATCATCTGTTCAAGAAAAAAAATTGGCTTTAACCCTATGCTAGTCCCTTGTTAAAAACATTTTCTGCCACTATCTTTTTAACTATAGGACTTTCCTTACTCTGTACTAACATCCAGTTGGTGAGGCTTTGCACTTCATCTCATATCCCCATATACATTTCAAGAAAGAATTCTGATAAATTAAGCAATTTTCTTTGCGTGTTAGTCTTTATCAGTGAAAATGTTTCCTTGTGTTCATTGCTGATAGTATAAATGGAAAAATAATATAAAATCAGAATCAGGACCGTGGCTTTTAGTATGTTAGCAGATGATATCAACTGAGATCTGCTTGAATATCTTTGATTTTCACTTGTCATCAGTCTTTACTTTGTATGTCTCTGAATTATTACATTCTTAACGTATTGTTTGGTTTTATATTATTGTACAGCTAGGTTTCCAGCAATTACAAAAGGAGCACTGTAGCTACTTGACACTAAATCACTATTCAAAGCGTTATTAGTTGCAAAAAATATTGGTAAGAATATCCCTAAAATCATTCCTGAAACTATACATGGAAATGCTAGTATTTCCACTACAACAGTCTTAATTCTTAATTTCTGAAAGAGTGCTATGTTGTACATGTGCTACTGCATCACTTGTGCGGCAAGTAAACACTGATGTGTCCCTATCCTGATATGAGCCCCCACTCCCAAGTATGTATCTGTATAGAACCTGGAGGCAATTTTGCATTTCAAAAAGTCTGGGTGTACATCATAAGCATTTTTATTTGAATCATCATCTTGGAGTGCTGACTTTGGAGTCTTATTTTTTTAGTAAAGTGTCATCTTAGAGACTTCAGCTTTTTTTTTTTTTTTTTTTTTTTTGTATGCATGGAAAATATATATAACATATTTTGTATTTGTAAAGAAAAAATCTCACATCTCTTAGCAGTGGGAAAATAATAATTGTACCAAGTCTTAGCAGGTGAAAACCCTTTTTAACTGAACCAGTTTTTCTCTTCTCTGAACACTGAGAGCCAGAACACTGAGAGCCAGTGGTAGAAAACAAATGGATACTGATATTCTAAGATAGCTGCAAGGCTAATAGTAAAAAAATCTGATAAAACACTATCTTGGAAGGTAGTCTGGCAATGGTGATAATAACGTTACTTCTGGCAAAAATGACAGTGCATTCAAACAGTAAACAAAAATTAAAATAAATATTCTTCCAACATCGCATGTGAATGTATCTTTTGTGTGTAGAGACATATATTTGTTTAGAACACTTTATCTCTCAGCTAATGTCAACCAAGAATTTCAAGCTAACTTGGCAGACATGGATTTTGGTATGGCAGTATGCTGTGGAATTGTAATCAGAGCAGTTTCAGAGGATGTGGACATGCTGAAGTATAGAGAAGGACAGTGTTAGATCAAAATAAAGACTGAAAAAGAAATAGAATAAAAGAAACAGAAAGAGACCAAAATCTCCGTGTTATATCCTTAGTTTATATAAATAGTGATAGCTCAGATACAGCTGGGGCGAGCTGGAATACTCCAACATACTTTTAAGCATTCAGTAGTTCCAGGATCTGCAGTACATGTTGGAAGAGACAGACATGTCTAGAACCGCGTGGTATAGCAGTCATTCTTCTGTTGGACTGCATGGTTTACTTTCTCCTTGTGCCAAGGCAAACAATTCTTGTTACACTGTACCTCTGTAGTGTTGCAAAATTGCTTTGCCTATGTCTGTTCTCAAACATTTTCAAGTTAGGACCAAGATTTCCTTTAGGAAATGGAATGGGGCACTTGGAAGTCAGTATAGATACCTACCAAATTTCAATTCTTTTGCATAATTGTTGAGTTTGAGACTTAGTACAAAAATATGCTGATGCAAGTAGCACAAAATGGGGAGAAAAGTCCATCTGGAACAAGGGATAAAATTAATAGAGGTGTGCAGTTTCAGGATCAATATAAAATATTATGGACTGATAAGCTTGGTAGAATACTTTTCAGGAAAGAAATTCTTGATCATCTCTCACTAACAGTTGTACTCAACAAGGATATTATTCATTACTTTCCTTCTGTGAGGCCCATACCTGAAAGTAAAATATTTCACACCTTTGCTACAGCTTGTCCAGAACACGGACCGGGATTATAAATTGGCCTATTGCAGAGAAAGCTCATTAAAAAGGAGCAGTGCAGCTGCAGAAATAATAAAAGATAATAGAGGTAAAGAAAAAAAATAAAAGAAGAAAATTGTTGAGATTTTGTAATTTTTAAAACAGAGCAAGCAAAGCCAACCAGTATATATTATATGTGGTGTGTTACTAATAGCATAACCTACCTCCTTACTGGCTTTCTATGCATTTGTTCTATGAAATGGCAAATAAAATTATAGCTACAGCACACAAGTACAAGGTCAAATAAATGACAGTACTCAGTCTATTTGTGAAGCTATTCTGAAAAGGAACCATGGTGCCAAATGTGGTTTATTTGAATAATAAAGAAGAATTAGATTCCCCTGATAACTTGGCTGAGGGCCAATAAATCACTGGAGGTTAAGAATGCTTTGCAACAGCCGCGTATTTCTTTTGCTTTTACGAAGCATAAACCTCAACTACTCTGCTCTACCTGTTTTTCAATGCAAATCAACTTGAGGCTAGTAGATGGTTAAAGGATTGCTTTGTGCTGTTTGCTTAAAAGTAATATAAAGCAAAACTTGCACCTGTTCTGTAAGTTTTACCCCAATTTCCCACTGTGCCATTATCTAAGCAATAATTTTAAAAATCAAATAAACAAAACACCAGAAAATTCACAGCAAAATTACATTTCTTCATTTTTTTTAAGCAGATCCAAACAATAGCAAAGAGAGAAGTTTTTTGTTTTGTTTTTCTTTTTGGATTTCGTTCTGAATTTATAAAATACTATATGAAAAGATAATCTCTGCTGATCTAGTAAACTGGCACACTAGCATGGAATAGTTTGACCTCTTTAAAAATTATTAAAGCCTGGGGAATTTTTGTTAATGTGTTTTTTAAGGAAGTTATTTCTTTTAATATTCAAGATAAGAAAGTTCATTTACTTTCATCTTTTATAGTAAAGGAGGAAGGTAAGCAAGGGAGGAACTCTTGAAATAGAGTAGCTCTGTGGATGTTGAGAGCAGAAAGAAAATATAAGTATCAAAATAATTCAGAAACAGAACAAGGCATGGTGGCACATTATCAATTTACAACATTTAAATTGATAAATGCTTGGTGGTGAAGGCCTACAAGGGCACTTTGAAAAGCAAATAGCGACCTGGTGAAGAAATTGATTTTTCCCCCCTGAAAATGACTGCATGATGCATCATTTGACTGCATGCTGTCCAAGTGCTTGACAGAGATAATCTCAGCA